TGATGGCAGATTCACTACTTTACCGGCTGCAAATTGCACTTGAGAGAGCCAGAGAAAATTTGGAAAAAGCACAAGCAGCACAGAAAGCACGATTTGACGAAACAGTGACAGAGAATCCATTCCGCGTCGGAGATATCGTCCTTTATGAGCTGGAAATAAGACGAAAGGGGGAACCCAGCAAATTACAACCAAAAAGAAAAGGTCCTTATGTCATAGAAGCAATTTTGGAGGGGTCAAGCTGCATAATACGGGACATAGAAAAAAGTAAACCACCAGAGAAAGTTTCCATCCGACGGTTGCTCTTATTTGATCGCATACATCAGGAGGAGGAAGTTGAAATAGTGGAAGACCAATCACCATTACCTGAGGAGGCTAATGATGATGTTGTGCCTGATATTGACCACCCTGAACCATCTTTACCTACTTTACATGATGACTCAGGCGGTGACGCACAAAGTCCAATGCTCATAAAAAGGAGAGGACGCAGAGGACGAAAAAGATTGGACAAACAGAAGAAAGAACAAAAAGAAGAGTCAGCGCTAAAAATGCCACCGGTCTTGACGTCAACAATTTCGAAGTCCAACACGACTGAAAATGCACACATGCAGTTTAACCCACCACCCAGCGAGTTACGAAGGTCAGCAAGAATAAAAGAACGAAAGCAAGCGTTTATGAACTGTCTTGGGATGCAGCAATTTGATCTTGACAGCACTGCATTGATAAATTTGCCAAGTCAGACGAGAGTTGGTTTCTGCTGCCCCAAATGCTACTTCAGCAATTGACACCTATTAATCCCAAAAATATAAATAATGCGAAAACTCCCTCCACCACAAATTCATAAAGTGAAGCTGAAAGATAAGCCATTATTCTCTCATCCATCAAACTCACACAACGTAGCCAAGACAGTTCTCCATCATGGGGCAAAAATTATTCATCTTTTTTCTCGTGGTTTCCATCACCTTTATACACACTGAAGGGAGAAGCTACAGCCGATCACGCAACCAGCAGAGAAACCACACAAAATTCCAAACACCGAAAACCGGAACACACAATTTAAAAAAGACACCCAAACCACTCACGACGGTCGAGTACTTATTTTTCATTGTCCTATTATTTACACTCCTATTCATGGCTTATGGAGCGGTGAGAAATAAGACGGTACCGGAAATCTGCTGCCCCCAATACCCATTATACATCATCGTCGTCCTCTTAATTTTTGGACTGCCCCTCTTATTTGGCCAGACTGAAGAAGATACAAACGATATAAAAGAATTTCAAACAAGAATGCGAAATTCCTCACAATATTGGAATCGCTATGACCACTTTCACGATGAAGATTACCCTGCGCCCGGAAATAGTCAAGTCACACCGAACCTATCTACTCAAGCAAAATCTCAATCCAACTCAAAATTGTCCCGTGATAGTTTCCTGCAATTGTATGTGGACAAACACGATCACCCAGCCATTATAAATGGAAAGATGAACACAACAAAAAGGTTCGATGTCACATTCAATAGCAAAAGTGCAGGTACACGTCCCCAACCATTCATCTCTCTTGTTCTGAAGTTTTTGAGTCTCTCTCTTGTCTCGGGCACAGTGCAGTGTTTAGGAGATGTGCAAATAGGCCCCAGTGAATTCAGTCCAAGGTTGGATGTATTATCTCATGAACAATCCGTCAGGCTGTGCATTATCCTAGGTCTACTAGCAGTCATTACACTTCTTCTTACAATTGCATGCTGCGTGCTCAAATGCATAGTGAGAGGAGGATGAGCAATAGAATCTGCAAAAGTTTGTAAATAAATCGCCAAATTCACCCATATAAGTAGCGCATATTGAGATTTTGAACTTAGGTAAAAGAGCTATCTATTTAGCGAACATAAGGCGAGGAAAATTGTACAGAATCATAAATCCGAGCAGACAGTGCGTGGCAAGTAAAATACCGGCTAAAGTATAGCTTGGTACACTGGAAACACACCGGATGCAAGGAATGAGGATAACTGATATAACTTGTATTATATATGTAGCTTGCACTCAACATAACTATAAAAATACTTACACATGCATATTGTACATAAGTAGCAGGAGCACAATTAATTATCAGTAGAACTAGGTCATACATTCTCTAAACTGAAACTGTGATCGAGGAATAATACCGCCGGCAGTATAGGCTGGTAATCCCGATGTACATGTGGAAGAGGAGAAAGCATAATAATAAATTGTATTGTAAATTTACGCGGTGGGATGGCCCTGGCGCCGCTACAGATCGCTTGGGAGGAGACGCAACGGGTGGACCAAGTCACATTTGCATGCCAATTAATTTATCAAATGACACTCGAGGATATGGCAACAGTGCAGAGATACTGGAGGCGACAAACTCAAAAGATTCGCGCAAAATTATGCAAGAAAAGAAAGCAGGGGATTCATCAAGAAGAGGAGGAAGAAAGTGACGAAATTCTTATACCTAAGGCCTTATCCACCATGTCGTGGCAGAGATGCTCATTAATCTTCAGGGAGGACAGAATCCCCAACGGCGGTTACATATATCTGGATGTGGAGAAAGTCAGCCTTAGACGTCAAATCAACCCTCTACTAGAGAACAGCATCGTGCCAGTGGACAGAATGGACCAGGAGACAAGATTTAGATGGGAGCGACGAATGACAAATGCAAATGTGCATTTTCAGGCTGCAGCACAAGTCTGTCTCGTCGATGAAAAAGGGATCATAATTTTGTATGCAGTCATTAATTGGCCTGAAGACCAGGTGTGCCAATATCATGAGTCTTTGAATGGAATAACACCAGCTATGTTAAGTGGTGGTTATGATTTAGGCTTCATTCAGCATCTCTTTTGCAAATGTTTGAAAAATAATACATTGGTAGGACAGAGTGTCGATGGAGACCTCAAGAGTTTATTAGTTTGCCAAGAAGCACATCGATACGAAGATTTGACAAATTTTTATAGAGACGAAAATAACCAAGCATATGGTTTGAAAGTGCTAGCTATGGCATTGTTGCCTGACAAAGGTTTCCAGGAATCGGTTCACTCTGTCGTGCAAGATGCAAGGATTACGCGGAAGTTGCACATAAAAAAGCTTGAAATGTTATCCAATAACTGTGTGCCTCCTTTCTTCTCTTATAACAGGCCAATCCGTGTTCAACCCACAGGCGAATGCAGCTGCCCATAAGTAAAGTATCGAGTCAAGAGATGAAAAGTCTCCTCTTTCCTCCGTTTCAATTGTAACATAATCAAGGGGTCGTAACTAAATACTAGTTTAGAATTTACGTGTCTCATTCTCCGGGCAGGCGATAAAAATATTAGATAATTTGTAAGTTGTATGTAAGGAGGGTTAACTCGGGTCACGATTTTTCATTTTTTCTGTCTAGTGTAAGCAGTTTGTGTTTTCTCGTGCAACCCTGACCAGCAATAATAAGTGGAGACTTGACAAATTACAGATCAGCTTATGTTAAAATTTATGAAGTGTAAAAATGTCCATGGGTTTTTATTTTCTGAACAGCCTCTCAGTTTGTGTTTCCCATGTAAGTAGCTAAAACTTAGTGACATAATTTAAGTCGTTGTAAATTTTCATCTTGAAAAGCAAATTGTAATTCGATTATGTAAACTCCAAAAATTTTTATTCCGAAACATTTTATTTTCTCATTACTGAGTTTTATTGTTTTTGTGTGTATGCATGAACTATTTTTAGTTAATGGTTCAGAATTGTTATTAGATGTTACTCGTCCCACGCCTTGCTGGTGGTACAGCAAGAGATTTAAGCAAAGAGAGTGTCAGCATCTCATCTCAACCAGAGACCAGGATCTGGTGAAAAGTGTCCAGTTTCGACCAGCCAGCAACAAAGTTCCAGCCAACCATTAAAATTTATTATGCTTGACTCTTGACCCATGCAGAAGCGTGAGAGAGTGCAAAGGCAGCATTATGTTAGATTGTAAGATACACGTATGTACATAGATCCTTAAGTAGTGGGGGAGAGAGAAAACGATATGAAAAGGTTGACATTGTAAAGTAGATTATTGGGTTTTTGGACAGCAAAGTGGAAGGAGGGAATAAACGTATATGTAGTCAGACCACCAAATACTGCGTCTCAAGCTGCCTCTTTATTGGGACACAAACGTCCACCACTTTTTCACACATGAGTTTCATCCTGTCTCGAGAGAAATAAATATCACCAAGTCCACAACCACTGAAAATCATTTTATGCGTAGTTTATTCTTTTGCAAATAGTTACGTAATCGCACGCCCAATAAATAAATTAACCACATTTACAAACATAATTTACGACAATTCTCATAATATAATAATAATATTAATCCTTAATCAAGAATTAATCAGGATTAATTAATCCTTAATCCTTAATCCCGAATCTCAGAGAATTTTGAATTAATCCTTAATCCTTAATCCCACCAAATTGAATTATTTAATTAATCCCGGATTAATCTAATCCCGGAATAACATTAATCCTTAATCCTTAATCCCAGAAAAAAATTCATTAATCACAGATCTCTGATAAATGTACAAAATCAGTTCCTTTTGATGATTGACATATGTACTTATTTATGTATGTATGTACATGTCAATAATATGCCTCAAATACATGCGTTATATGTGTATCACCTGTCTAATTCATTATTGTACAAATTTTCTAAATATCAATGTAAACTCTGCTTGAATGCTAATAAAGTCGTGACCTTGACGAAATTCAAAAAAAATTAAATATTCAAAAACATAGGAAGCGCATGTGTTTTGTAATATCGAATGAAAGACCGTCTTAGGGGCCGTGCATAAAGAATGTGGCCAATTTTCGGGCAATTTTGAACCCAATACCCTTTCTTTTCATATACACCCAGTGTTATAAATTATAACTTATAATAAGTTTGGAAGAATAGGATACCTGGACCATTACTCCATCAAATCGATCACATATTTTTTGCACAGTCCTAAATGTGTGTATGCAGTAAGAATGAAAGGTGAACAAAGTGAGACTCCATAACAGCGGCATTAGTGTAGAAAGAACACACAACAAAACCATGTGTTCTACTCGGCAGAATTAAAAAATAACATTGTTATATTCAATCTAAAATTTGTGGAAGTGGAAAAATTATGTAATCAACTAATTTAAACTGTTGAAGCTTTATACATCTAAATTAGGTAAATGATCTTAAATCTATACAATAATTTCTTTGAATAATGATTTCAAAAAGAAAATTATTTTGAACGCATTGGTTTTAATATTCGTTTTGATATGATAATTATTTGGTACATAGTTTTTAAAATTTGCTCAATTCTGTACAATTATTTAGGGATCGGCATATAAATTATTCTACTTATCTATTTGTGGACCTCGGCACGTATATACAGAAGAATTTAAATAACAGTATAATTTTCTTTAGATTTTATAATTATTCTGAACATATTTGCCATTGCCACAATTACTTAAGTACAGTAGATACAGAGACAATTCACGCAGCACTTTGTAACATTGTAAACTTCATAAATTATGCAAACTTTGACAAAATTTAAGAGGAAAGTTTTGCAAACTCAGTCGTACGTATGTATCTTTATTTCATTAAAGTTTGTTGGGTTTATCGCAGATTTTACGGAATTACAAAGATCTCCATGAATTGTCTTAATGTTTTGTAAATAATTATTTTTGACCTTCAGGTCATGCCGAGCTGCGTATTCTGCACCGAGGCGAGTGTCCCCACGACAGCGACGACCACGACGATGGATGCGTTTCCATTTCTCTGCGCCCAGCTTGAAGTGCAACCACGTGATTCATCACCGGCGGCGTTATGTTCCACGTGTCACTCGGCGTGGGAGGAGGTCACCCTGCTCTACGCCAATGTGCAAGGGCTCCTTAACCTGGTCGGCAAGAGGGTCACTGATATTAAGGAAAGGGTCAAAGACTCTAATTATTCGCCGAAAGGTATGAATACGAGAATCACCTTAACTATGAACATTTTGATTTGTAAACTTTTATAACACGAGGCTCGATTGTTTTGTTACCCTCTGTACACGTTAAAGAATTTTAAAATGGGGTCCAAATTGGACTGTCCAATAATTTGGAGATAAATCGAATCGTCACACGAGTTGTGCTTTATTTTTGTGTGGTTTAAGAAATCGTATGGAAAATAAGTCAAAAACTGTTACGTTGTTACGTGAAACCTAGAAATTTTATGTAACAAGTCTCACGTTTTGATAAAAATGTGTAATTTTTTAAAATTACGAAATAACGCAAAATTGGTAAGAGGCTTTTTCTTGAAGTATCTATATTCCATTAGTAGTTACAAAAACGTCTCGTTAATCATTACTGAAAAATAATGATGTATCACTGTGGGTGATGATTTGTCTGCAAATTATCTAGTGCAAAATTAACCCCTTTTCTGTTGGGGCGTTCATTTAATTGGAATTTTACTGCTTAGGAAAGCGACCCAGGCGAAATGTTTCGGCACCTGGGCCGGAGGTGATGATGAACTGGTGGTATCCAGCCTCCCCCAGGGGACCAACTAATAATACCGACCCTCACGATGATGACTCCAACGACATAAAAATGGAATCAATCGAGATTGACGACGGTCTCGATGCTGCTGCAGATTTGGACTTCGAAGATGTCGAAATCATACCGGATAATGAAGATCATGATGATGATTCAAATACGGATGATGAACTGACGCCAACGCCCAACAGGTGCTAAATTATGGTGGTTAGGGGCGATCCATAAATTATGTCACGCCAAAAACGCGATTTTCTAGACCACCCCTTCAACACGTGTCACACAGGCACAATATCATTGGACCCTTGGACCCTTCCCCCCTCCCCCTCTTGCGTGCATAATTTATGAACCTTCCCTTACACGCTGAATCATAATGTTACTTTTTGAAAAGTGAATACTTTAAATTCTGTATCCAGTAAACTAAACAAAATCCAGGCTAAACGTTGATCTTCCCGGTTTAATATATTAAGTATATACAGGGTGGTTTAAAAGTCAGGTCACAATGGAAAATTTTTTAATGGGAAAAATTCGCAAATCTCCATTCGTTACCGAAATTTTCCCTCTGAAATTCAATATTTCAAGAATTTTGTCATCAGTGTTCCATAAGTTATGATAAAAATTAATAAAAATCTCAATCCCAAATCCGTAACTAATGGAAATTTACGAATTTTTCCCACTGACAAATTTACCATTGTAATGTAACATTTAAACCACCCTATATTTAAATGATACAAAATCCAGATTAACCTTAACTTGAGCTTGACAAAGAGTAAACTGTACTCTGGACTTATTATAGCCAACTGGATACATAATTTAGCATGCATTTACATATTTTTAAAAATCGTAACTATGCTTAAGAGTGTTGGATTGTTTTCTTAATAATCCATTCTTGTTTGTGTGTATAAGGATGAATTATTTCTGTACTAATTATCTCTTTGAATTTAGGGCTCGTAAATCTCGTAAAAAATTATCAAATCCGCAAACTTCACTTCCACAAAGTCACGGTGAGATTCAAATCTTGACCTCACGGAAAGACAGACCACTCCTATCGCTGGACGGCAACCTTTTCCAGTTGGACAGAAAAGCATCCACCAAAATATTTTGGAGGTGTGCCCAATTTCAAAAGTATAAATGCAAATGCAGGCTGCATACGAGTGTTAATTTAAGCCAGCCTGCCCTCCTCCTGCAAGTCGGAGATCATAACCACGAACCTAAATCGGCCGCCTGTGAAGTTAAGAAGGTCATGACCAAGATTCTGCAGGCGGCGAGTAGTTCGTCAATTCCGGCAGAGCAACTCATCGCGAATGAGATGCAGCAAATGCCGGATAGAAGTCTGGGTCACATGCCGAAGCCACAAAGTATCAAGAGGTCAATACGAAGGGTCAGAGCGGTTGAGAAGAGGGCGTCGCTTTTGGAAGAAGCGACGTAGAAGTACAGATAATGTTTTTTTGTGTCCTTTTTGGTTTGATTTTGTCCGAGTAAGATTTTGCTACTGAAGTTTTTCAAATGTTTTCTTTGTCGATCTAGAAATGAAGACTGGTTTTTTGTATATGTACATATTTACATATATAAGCGTTTAAATTTGCAAAAACAAGTTCCTTTTATGAGTTGTACATGATTGATTGAATATATTTTCTATTCTCTGGTTTACACAAATTTATGAAATGAAGAAGTAGAGCGTACTCTAAGCACAATGACATTCGCAAACCTTGCACATCTGGAAAATGGAGCATGATTTCAAGTGTGGCGAGATACAAATATGTATGCATACCAGCAATCTAAAAGTTGTTACGGGAAACGTATGGACTTTTTGTGCAAGATTATTCTGTCAGAGGACATTTGTATTAGTTCTCAAGATTATTGCACAGACTTCGTTTGCATGGGCTTACATGATAAATTTATAGATTCTAAATAAGTTCCGTGATCGGTAACAGAAACGAGAAGCCACGTGTGAGGTAAGAAATTGCATGTTACATGCAAACTCAATGTCCTCATATGAAGTATCTATGTATCTAGCCACACTCTTAGAAACGTTGGATGATGTACATACGTAAATAATAATTGACCAAAATAAGTACATATTGTCTCTACCGGCCCGGAAATAATGGGCATTACAGTTTAGTAATGTGATGATGATGAATATTCCACTCGACAGGAAACATTGTATAAATTTTTATTGCATTTTTGCACATATCCATGAAATCATTTTACATATATGTATTTCGAAAAAGCTAAACGACCAGCGCCGTACATAAGTGTCCCTATCTGAATATTAAAAAAACTCTTTTAATTGTAGTTGTCCTAAAGGTAAAAAATCTCATCCAACTCTCGTCCGGCTGGAAGAGATCCCAAAATAGCAGCCACATTTCCACGCTGCACTGCAATACTCATCCTCTGGAGGAGAAATGATGTTGCCCTCCTCTCCTCCGTAACGATCGTGATCCTTGATCCGATTTCCTTGATAAGGGACAGGCCCTCTTTGCCCCACACTCCCATCGTTTCAATGGCTACAGGAACAAAGAGGAACCTGTCCTGGAGGAACTCGTATTTTTTCCTCTTGGCGTCTTCCGCCTTCTCGGCTGCCGCACCAGGATGAACGCAGGTTTGTGGGAGATAAGATGGTGCGAATGTGTCAGAACATGTGAAATCCCAAACCAGGGGTCTCCCTCTCGCCCAAGGGATTAAAGTTAGGCCGTCAGGGTGCTTTCCGTCTTGGCGAGAACACCCTTGTGGCTCTTTGACATCGGGGGCTCCAGCAGTTCGGAGCGCTCTCCAAATCACGTCATTGGCAGCGGTATGTCGCGAATAACGACCCGCGCTCCTCTTACACTTTAGGCCATGATAGCCTTTTGTTGTGACCTCCGCTCCACATGGGCATTTATGAGAGTGGCACACGTCGCATCCAAGGCGAAGCGCGCAAGCGACTCGGTACGTCTCGTTGGGGAGTAGCGTCCCAAGTTGTGGCGAAGGGACGGCATTTAGCCACGCCCCCACATGTGGCTGTCCCATAGCAAGGAGTCGGGCTTTATCCTCCGGTGTAGGTGCACTATTCCTGAGGTGCTTGATGGCGGCCTCCTATTGAGGCTTCTCCCATGCGGCCTGAATACCCCTAACTTCGAGCGGGGGGAGTTCCGCCGGTCCCATGGGGTTCCACCTCTCTTCTCCTTCCTGCTGTGCGGTGTCGGTGCCATGTAGGTATGGCGGAAGTAGGCGCTCAACGAGGGGCAGGGCGCTGTAGGCGGACGCTAGGAAACACGGAATCGCCACGTCTACAGCACGCCTGACCCCCAGGCCACCTTCACTGTCCGGAAGGGAGGACTGAAGCCAAGATTGCGGGGAAAGGAAACAGTTGAGAATCCCCTCCATGGACTCCTTAAGTTTGGCGTCGTAGAGGGTGAGGGAGTCAAATCTCCGCCAAGTGGGGGCACACCGCAAAAAGTAAATGAGACGCGGTGTAGAGACCGAAGCTCGAAGAAGGAAAAAGGCGGAGTGGGAGGAGAGGTGAAGAAGTAGGGCCCCAAGTGTAGCTAATTGTTCGGCCTTCGCCCCCAGTACAGCCTCGATCGACTCGTCGGTGAGAGGAGCACCCAGGAGTACGGCGGCTTCGGGGGAAATCTCCTGTATTCCCGGTGCTGCCCGACGAAAACGCTCCAAAATTTCAAGGCGGGAATGTTCGTCCGCCCCTAGCACGCCCACTTCACACTTGCCGGTGTTCAGGCGAAGACCAACTTCCTCGCCCATGCGGATAATGGTGTCCAGCGCGACTAACACTTTCTGGGGTGTCCGCTATAGTGGCATCGTCCAAATACCACAGGTTTAGCTCCGTTTCGACGGCGAGGATGATGGGTTGAACGACGAGCGCAGAAAGGGCGGGACCTAACGGGTCCCCTTGTTGGGCCCCGCGGCGGGAGGAGATGGGGGTGTCGGCATAGTATAATTGAGACGGAAAAGAATAAGCCTGCGATAAAAAACTGAACATTGAGGGGAACCTTTCATGAATAATGTAGAGAATTGTATCCCACCGAATCTCGTTGACGGCGTTGTTAAAGTCGACTTTCAAAAAGGCTTTAGATGTCGTATGGGCGTGTCCCCAATAGATGCGGGCCGCATGTGCCGCCGCTTCGGCACCCCCCCTTATCCCCATCCCCAGTTGATGGGGTGCTAGGTACTCCACAAGGTTGGGGGACATTCTTTTCAGTGCGATTTTAGCGGAAAGGCGGCGCCATACATTTCCAACCGCAACGGGCCGAATCCCGCCAGTTTTCTTCTTTAGAGCGGTGAGGGAAGCTCCGTAGAAAATCGGGCAGAAAGGGACTGGAACATTCCCGCTGAGAACAACATTTATAAAATTTACGATAGCCTCAAGTAATTTTTCCCCCACTTCCCCCTGCCCAGTGGCGACAAGGTCTTTCAAAATTTGCGGGCGAAGGAAATCAAGGCCCCCAGCTGACCCAGGCGGAAAGCTTGATATCGCGGTGGTGATTTCTATAGGGTCCACCGTTGGTGGTTCCGAATTATTTAGTGGTTCGGGATATGCGGTTGGTTCCGGGTGTGGCGGATGCTTACTGAAAAGCGCATCAACTGTCTCTTGGCTCCTTGGGGCTATCGTGTCGTCGGAACAGGCAAGTCTAATTGCCCCCCGGATATCACCATCCGCCAGTTTCGCCTCCACTTTCTTTGTCACATTTTCCATCTCTCGAGGGGGCTTGGCGGGAGGTCGTGGGAGTCGTGGCGGTGGGGCTGCCTGCTCCAACAACCACCGGGCAACTCCTGACTTGACCCACGTCGTCAAATTCTTGACCTTGTCGGTCTTCTGGGGAACGGGAAGGCTTACGTAAGGGAACAGAAATAGTTTGCCCCATGATTCTTCGGTTTTGGTTGTGGTCACCTCCTCCGAAACCTTCGTTAGGGCACGAGCAACTTCCATTCTCGCCCCTTTTGGAACTCGTCGCAGTGTGGGTGTGGTCATTTTGAGTCGACTTAAGACTTCCCCCCAATCGTGTGACAGGAAACTACTACATACATATGTACCAATCCGGTGAGAAGTTATCACCAAATCAATTCCACTGCGGAGCATAAATATCCCTGCGAGATTTTTTAGAGTGTACAGGTTCTGCTTACATATATGAATTAATTAGCTTAATGGAAGCTGTTCGTATGTATTTATGCATGAAGGGGGATGGGCCAGTGCATAAATTACGTAACGGAAAAATCTCGATTTTCCAAACCCCTCACGCCCCTTTTAAAATAAGCAGCATATCATTAGAGCTTCAGACACCCCTCCCCACTCCCGCGTTAAGTAATTTATGGCCGGCCCCTTTGTGCAGATAGCGCTTAAGGACACAGAATACTGTAAAGGTTTTAGTTAGGGTTGCCGCGGGTAACGGGTCGGGTACCCGTTACCCGCATACCGGCACGATTCTTGCGGGTACCCGTTATCTGCGGGTAGCTGGAACTACCCGCACGGCTACGGGTAGTTCAGTTTTATTTAATTTGTTCCATAAATTGACTCACAAAGGAAGTTTGAAGCTCATGAGGCTGTACATTTACAGAAGTATGATTTTCTTCTTTATCCACCTCAAAATTTGTCATTTGCCAGCTACAACGTTTATATATCTAGCGTGTCTTTGAAGCCTATGGCAGCTTCAAATACTTTTCACGTCCAGAAAATGCGGAAAATTATTGTTTTTCAATCATAATTTGCATGCTCTAAATATAGCACAAATACTAAGACTTGTATTTTATTTGTGTGTAACACTGACGATATTTTAACTTGTGCTGCTCTATCCGATTGAAGGAAAAAATTGTAGTTGTAGACACATTTTTCAATGAAAACTTCATTTAGATCAACATTTTAAAAAATCAAACGAACAAACAATGGAACCTTTATTCAAGCTTCAAATACACCAAGATTGTCTAGCGACTCATATCAAACATGCAAGCCAAAAATTAGGAATAACGAAATACCGTAAAACCTCTATTTATAGCCCTCATCTATTTATAACCGGTCTCCAAATATAGCCGGGTCTAGAGACCAAGATTTCAAAATTTTAGCCGGGTCTCTAATTATAGCCGGGTCCCCAATTATGGCGGGGTCTCTAATTATGACCTGTCTTGTCCTCTGTATCCCTGTTCATAGTCCATTAAAGAAAAATGGTGCTTATCTTTTTATTGAATGGCCACTTTGAAGAACAGTATTTGCAAGTTTAATTTTTAGGTAAATGTTCTCCATATTTTTGATCCACTGGACGGAAACCATGGTGAACTTTGAACTCTGCCCCCACCCCAATAGTTTTCTTTAAAGGGGTCATTCGATGGAAAGACAAGTGTCATATAATTCCAAATTTTTGTCCAGATGTTTGCGAAACATTGCATCAAAACATTGTTCTGACCTAACAACCATAACTCGCTAGGAACAATCCCGGAATAGCTTGAAAAAGGTTCCATTAAAGCCAAAAATTTTGCTTTCAAAGACACCTAGTACCAAATTATAAGTTGCGTAAATCGCATAGCATTAGCTCAAACTACTTAAGCAAATAATTGATTAAATCAAGTTTATTCTGAAGTTTGGTTAGTTTTTAACCTAATTCTCATAACGGGTAGCGGGTAACGGGTACCCGTGCGGGTACGGGTAGTTGTGCTGCGGGTAGCGGGTC